CAAAAAAGGGGATACAGATGAATGTCCATTTTGTATCTGTGTATTCAAAGTGGTTAGGATAGATATATAGTTACATTCTCTTAATGAATAGAGTGATTTATTCTAATGGTGTTTGTAAATAGGATATCATGTCCACATCTTGTACAGCATTTAACCACTAAGAAGAATGTATGCAATGTGTTAATTATTGAAACTGTCCTACCAATTTGATTTGAAACTGTCTCATTGCTATTTGTTTATTAATAAAATTATGGGAAAAAAATCTCCAACCAAGACTTGCCTATAAAGAAGTTCTAAATCCAGCATTGACCTATTAAATTACTATCTGCATTGTGAACATCAGTGTCCCTGAGTGTGTACATGGAATGTATACATGTGTTTGAAATATTGTAAGTTTCCCATCTTCAACTGATTATAATGGCATTGTTCAAAAATTTTGAGTTTTTAATAAACTTTGAATTTAAATGGACAGATAAAAAATAGAAAAAAAACATGGTGACATTCTTGTTCTGTACATAAGTTAATGTAGTGAGGTTCTGGTGAGAACAGGGACATTTTCATACAGAACAATTAAGTATGAAAACAAAAGCGAAAGCTTTATTCTTTTGGCTTGACTGTAACATGGTTCACCGTTCTTTATGGTAATAGCATTTTCCTGCATGCATTTCACCAGCACACTCCAAGCCAGTAGCTTTAGTATAAATTTCTGTATAATTTCTTCCTCTATTGAGCATGGAGACCTTAACTCATCCACACCACGCTAAAGGTGAGCATGTCAAGAGTTCCACATCAGTGACAGATAAACCCTATATCTAATGGATCCTTAAGTCTCAACTCCAGATGTATGACTGCAACTGAACTTGTCCTCATTCACACATGACATTAAAAAAACTTAAGTAATTCCGATATGCTGTCAAAGTTGAGAGTATTCATAGGTAAATGGGAAAACCAATTCTACTTGGTGAATTCTCTTTACATGCCATCAAGAATTCAGGTATATGCTTTCTTAAAATTTTTGTCAAGGAAATTGCACAAAATACACATAAAGACAATATATCATGTAGACTTTATCAGAGCGACTAAAAATTATTAGGCTCCTAAATCCATGCAGCCATTCTTTATAAAGTGGAAGAGATGAGATGTTTGTGAATAGAACGAACAAGGTTATCAATATTTGAAAATCAATAATAGCCCAAGAAATGGATGGACGCTTGTGTATAAAAGCAGATTAGGAATGTATAAGCAAAAATGTTAATAGAAAAACTAAGCAAAACAAGACATAGACAGGAAGGAGAAAAGATGCACAAGTTAAAATGTTAGTCAATTCTTTATTGATTTTTGTAACTTTCCACTACTCTACCTGATTCCATATCTTGGTTTTTGGCCAATATGAAAACTAGATAGCCAATACACTCTTCTGAATTAATTTCCATTCCATGAAAAAATTTAAAGGTGAATTATTTTATCTAATGTGTACTCTTTACATTTATCTTTTCATAGATCATGTTTACATGATAGAAATTTACCCTTAAATGGCATTTCAGATAGAAACAAAGACAGAACAATTAAGTACGAAAACAAAAGCGAAACCTTTATTCTTTTGGCTTGATTGTAATGTGGTTTACCATTCTTTATGGTAATAGCATTTTCCTGCATGCATTTCACCAACACACTACAAGTCAGTAGCTTTAGTATAAAAAAAAATCTACATTTAATGTTGCCTGTGAAACACAAAATGTTTTGCTGCAACTGGTAATATAATTTCACTACCTGGTTTCATGGAAATAATAAAAAGAAAAAGCTTGGATCCCATATCACAACTGATACAGCCCTAGTGCCATAAGGGTCAGTAAGATTAGATCTACCTGTATAAACGAACAGTGGAGAAGACTGATGATTACTGTATTTAAAAGACTAGGTGGAGACATCTGATTGAAGCAATGCTAAAAATATCAGCAGATCTTTCCTTAAGCCTCTTTCAGTGATAAGGCAGTACTATTTGAAAGCAAATGAACATTGGACTTAGTCTGAGAATTATTTCACATTGAAATATGTGCAAGTTTACAGTACCAATAAAAAAGCAGAACTTTACACTGCATCTCAGTCCTTGATTCTTATTTTGTGAAATGTTTTAATTCAAAAGTGCTGGAAACAGAAACGAACGATAGTGACTGTGACATCAACCTGAAGATACTTTTAATTTCTTATTTTATATACAAAAGGCTGAAAAATAAAATAAAATGAACTTTTTTTACAGTATTTATATTTTCTTAGAAAACTCTAACCATATATTTTCAACAGATCTAAGCAGCTTGCAACATGTTTGTGCAGTCAGAGAGTACTCAATTAAGATTGGAAGAAGAAAAAGCAAGAAGCTCCTCATTGATTGCTGCAACCTATTGCTCAAGGACATGAGGATGAGGTCTTGATAGAACAATTTGCTTCACTTCACCACTGACATATGGCTTCCCATATTAGACTTCTGAACAGTGGAAAGAATAGGATACGGCAGCGCTGGCAAGATAAACATGCAGCAGTGACAGCTTCAAACTATAATGGAACCAATTACATCATTATTACCTGTTGAAAACTTGCAAACTATACTTACTGTGGTACATATTTGATGCAATAAATACTGTGCTTACCTCATCATTTTTGTTTGCTCAAACATGCACCACTGGGTAAAATTACTATTTACAAAGCAGACTTTTATATTTGTAAATTGACATGTATGATGTCAACCTTACCAAGAGCAGAAGATGGCTAAACAATACTGCAGGAAAAAGCAGAATCAACTATAAAGTGGTAGTGGGGATGCTTTTTGGTCAATTTGGTTTTCTTAGAAAGGACAGGATATTTTTATTTTATGCCAAAGGACACTTATCAAAAATGTTTTAGTCATGCTACTAGGACTGTGAATGATTATGTGATGGCATGTGTGAGTCTCTGTGTGCACATGGGTGTATACATATATATGTATATACATGTACATATACATAGATACATATATACATATACATATAATGGATTATGTAAAAATAAAAGACCTCTGTAACGCTTGTGATTCTATGGAACATTTACAGGCACATTAAAATTTTCTGGATGAAACACTTTAAAAATATGAACAGCTATTTAAGCACCTCAAAAAGCTAAAAACATCCTGAAACAAGAAGTAAACTCTTTCCTTTTGTGATGTAATGTTTTTATGCATGAATGAGAATTGCAGCATGCCTTCATTTAAAATATATCCAGCTGTACAGTAGAGTAATGCAGAATTCCCTCCCTGTAGTCCCACTCCCCAAACATAAACCCATTTACAAAAATAGTCACATATAATAGTAAACAACCTGTGAATTAAAAAAAAAAAGATGATAAATTCACAGCACACATTTTGTAAAAATATGGCAGGTGTGGCAATTAAAACATAAACAGCGGTGACAGTTACTATTGTCAAGTGTCACATAATTTACATAAAAATTTTACTTCCCTCCCCCTTTCAATTGTTCCTATAGTCTGAGTAGCCATTACGCTCTGCTCTTCAGCAGTGTCAGCTGGTTGTGAAAACAGAAACCTCCTGGCGCTAGTTCTCTGATTTATTGAGTCCCAGTTTGCTGAGTGGAGGCCTCTGTCTTATTATAGGCACTGACCTTAAGTATACATTTGTAAAAACAGTCAGTTTGGCATAGCCCTCCTGTGAAAGTCCATTTTCACGGATACTTCACCATCACAGGCTGTAAACAATTGATCACAAAATGGATTATTCTTTGTTTATTTTTACTTTTTACTTTCCCTGATATCTTTTCCTTTATCTTCCTTTTCTGATTTGTCTTTCTCAAATTTCTCTTTCTCCGGCTTGGTCACACTGTCATAGGAAGGTGGAGAGGTGGTGGAAGGTGTCACATCGGTTTTCTCTGGAGTTGAATTCTCATTAAGCTTGTCAATGAGGGTATCATCTTTGATAGGCGTTCCTTCACCTTCTTTGCCTTTGTCTTTTTTATATATAGATGAAACCTTTTTAACTTTCTGTTTTAGAAGGTAGCGTCTATAAGCTCTCTGGATAACAATAGCAGACACTTCCTCCTGTTTGCGTTTCAAAGTGGTTGTAATGGGCTCATAGGAGACTTTGGATGGGTTTGATGCCATGAACCTCTCTTCCATCTGTATCCGCAGGGCATCCATCTCTCCACTCTCACCCAGAACCCTCTTTGTAAAAGCAAATAAGATGTCCAGGCAGTGGATCCGGTCTCCACTGACCATGGGCAGGTCCATGGCAATGAGCTGGACTTTGTTTGGTTTTGCTATGAGAAGAGGAGGATCCAGGGCATCTGCAAAATCTGAGAGCTTAGCAAACTCTATGAACTGAGTTGCATCAGGGTCAAACTTCTCCCAAACCTCATAGAACATCTCAAAGTCATCCTCACTCAGGGGCTCTGCACTTTCTTCAGTGGCAACACTGAAGTTCTCAAGAATGACAGCGATGTACATGTTCACCACGACCAGAAAGGAAATGATGATGTAACTGACGAAAAAGAAAATCCCAACAGATGGATTCCCACAGTCACCCTTCACTGAGCTTCCAGGGTGAACCTTATCAGGGTCACAGTCCGGAGGTCCACTGTTGAGAATAGGTGCTAACAAACCATCCCAGCCAGCAGAGGTGGTGATTTGGAACAGGCAGATCATGCTGTTGCCAAAGGTCTCAAAGTTGAACATGTCATCAATTCCAACTTCCCTCTTCACATAGGCAAAGTTGGACATTCCAAAGATGGCGTAGATGAACATGACCAGGAAGAGCAGCAGGCCGATGTTAAACAAGGCTGGAAGGGACATCATCAAAGCAAAGAGCAGCGTGCGGATCCCCTTTGCTCCTTTGATCAGACGGAGGATTCGGCCAATCCTGGCAAGACGGATCACTCGGAACAGGGTAGGGGACACAAAATACTTCTCTATCAGCTCTGCAAGGAACATTCCTGCAGAAAATCATTATGAACAAAGAGTGTTAAGAAGAGCAGTGAACAAAAATGCATGCTACAAGTAGTATCTAGTTTTAAAAATAGGTACACAGAATTAGGTACACACACATGAATACAAATAATCTGTACTCTTTGGTCAATAAGATGAAACTAGTATGTTTGGTGTTATCACACTGTAATATTCATTTGAAGAAATTGTTTCTTATTTTCTCCATTTAAAAAGAATATATTTAAAGAAAACTCAACCACTAAATGTGTAAAATACCACAAGATGTAGGATAGCCCAGCACAGAAATGGAGTTATACTTCCAAAATGCTAGTACTATTTTCATAAGACTGAAATGATTAAACAGGTGATTTTTCATTAATATACAAAGAACCATCTTTATGAGATTGTATTGATTTTATTTATTGTTTTGGAAGCAGTAAGAATTATGTACAGGAAAGAATTGGTTGGCGGCAGACACAGATTGAACTGAATTCTGGCTCTTGGTGTCGTGTGGTACCAAATGATAATGACAACTTCTTGCTAGGCAACATTTGCTGAGACTTTTCTTCATGCTAGCCACAGTGTTAATTAATTTACATAATTGCTTTAAGCCTCATATCAGTACTTTACAGAAGGATAACTTGAAAAAACAAGAATGGGGAAGCTGGCATAAAGTGGTCAGGGGCATAAAGTGTCAGAGAACTGGCACTTTATTTCCACAAGTAGCAGAAATATAGAAGGCCAGGTCTGATTCATGTGAATTGAAAATGTCTTCTTTTTTATGATTTCTTTTCTTTTTTAAAATGTATTTGGTACAGGGTTTCTCCACACAGCTTGGACTTGTACTGATCCTCCCATTTTCAGCCTCCTCAGCACTGGGATTACAGGCATGCACCACCTTGCCTAGTCTCGCTTTGCCTTGCCTTGCCTTCTTTCCTTTCCTTTCCTTTTTATAAAGTCTATTTTTTAAACCAATACAGAAAATCTTAACAATGTACTTATTTATAGTGCACCCTGCAACTTCTCAATAAAAATATATGTATCAATCTTGTAATGTTTCAGTGAGATTAAACATCTAACTCCTTAAACATTTAGCTTTTTGGTAAAAACATTGAAAACTCATTCATCTAGCATTTTAAAATATGCAGTCCATTAGTCACCCTACTAACGTGACCATGGAGGATACGTAGCAGCACAGCAGGACTTCTTATGTCCATCTAGTTGTGGCTTAGTACTCACTGATCAACCTCCTGCTCCCCTTCTACATATTCCCCATGGCTTCAGATGGTAACCAGCATTCTACTCTCAAATTCTATAGGGGCCGGGGAGATGGCTCAGTGCACTTGACTGGCAAATGCAAGGATCTGAGTTCAATCCCTGGTTCCGCCAAAAAAAAAAAAAGAATTCTTTCAATCCCTGGTTCCACCAAAAAAGAAAAAAAAAATTGCCAGAGGACAACACTACTATTTTAAGAGGCCGGGGAGATAGCTCAGTAGAATAAGCACTTGCCTGGCAAGTACAAGGGCCTGAGTTTAATCCCTGGTTCCACCAAAAAAGAAAAAAAAATTGCCAGAGGTCAAATTCTATGAAACCCAGATTTTATAGTCCTTCATTCTTAAGGACTATATCACTACCTCGTAGCACAATTGCGAGGCAACATATCGCCACAGTGTGCTGTTCTATTGGTGAGTAGGCTATAGCAATAGAGGCAAAACTCAGAAATATTGCAGGTTTGGTTCAAGATAACCACAAAAATAAATAAAGCAGTGAATGAGTAACATAAATTATTTGATTTTCCAATGAATGTATCAGTCTATGTTTATACTATACTGTAGTTCATGGTAGCATTATGTCTAAAATTATACACGTTCTTGGGTTGAGGTGACAGCTTGGTGGTCTAAGTGCCTGTGTGGCAAGTACAAGGACATGGGTTCAGTCCCTGGTACTGCATGCCATGCCAGCCCCAGAGAGTTGTGCCGGCCACCAAAACTGGGCATGGGGGTGCACGCCTGTAATCCCAGCTCTGGGGAGGCTGAGACAGGAGGATCACTATGAGTCCAAGCTGTATAGTGAGATACTGTACCAAATGAAGAAATAATAACTAAATAAATATTATATATGTTCCTTAATTAAAAATTTTTTTGCTAAAGAAAACTGGCACACCTGGGCTGTTGGGAACATGGCACCAAGGGACTTGCTTCATGCAGGGTGGCCACACACCTTTGATTTGTCAAGAAAGCACTCTTACCTACAATGGACAGGATGACCACGACAAAATCAAAGATGTTCCACCCAATGGTAAAGTAGTAATAACGCAGGGAGATGAGCTTCAGCACGCACTCCCCGGTGAAGAGCACAATGAACACCAGGTTGATCCAGTACAGAATGTTCGTCATCTCCTGGCTCTGGTCATCCGTTTCCACCATCATAGTGACCATGTTGAGGCAGATGAGGATCATGATGCTGATGTCAAACACTTGTTTGGTTACAAAATCGAAGACCATTCCTTGGAATTTGTTCTGAAACAAGGGGTATGGAAAAGCTTACGTAGAAATTTAAGAAATTTGGATCCAATTCATCTGATTTTTATATAGCAATATCAAAATAAGCCTTTATAAGGACATGCCATATTTGTTTAACCTGGTAGATAATATTACACATTGAAATATCCAACTCTTTTCAAATGTACTTGTACACCTTTCATCATACAGATTTTATAAACTGACTGTACGTTAAAAACCACCTACTATGTTCTCATTCTCTTAAACATCATCACATAAGTGATGCACAATCAGTACATATTTTATAACAAATATTTTTATTTCACGCAATGGACAGTGGGTATTCCTAACCTCTTAAGGAGGATTATATTGCTACCAGATTATTGAAGATCCAGGGGCCTGGGAGAAGATCCAATAAACAAATACTTCTAACAATTCCTCTTGCTTTGGCAGTTTCTGCCACAGCATGTAAAACTTCACTATGATGTTTATTACATTTTAAATTTATAACTAAGAAAAAGAATATTAATGGAAAAATCAAATTTGCATTGAATGCTGTACTTATGCATTGTATCATTCTAAGGTTAGTTTCTTAGTTTTGAGAACGCATTTATCGCTACTGTGAAATCTTTCCTTCAGATGGGGAAATCTATGAAAAATTATATAGAAGGACTTGTAAGAAGGAAATTATCGTCTCAATATTTATAGTTCACAATTCAGATAGTCAACTTGCTTCAGCCACTTTGGACTTTATTTTCATTTATGTTTTAAATGCTCAGTGTTTTAAATTCTGCCTTGTGTTGAGGAACTTCCATTATTTCTAACTGAAATTCTTGGACATCCAACAGCACTTGTTCTATTGTATTTTGCTCTTTTTGATGAATACATATTTGGTTTGCTGGCCTGGATTTCTATTGATTTAGCTGAGTCTGTCCAGGGAATCCTTTCTAATACGTACAATTCCTTTTCCAATGGTCACTTCTTAATCCTTATTTACCATCATTTAGATTTGCAAGTCTTTCATGTTCCTTTTCTACCACTCAGTACAATAGGCAGATTTGGCCATATCACTGTACTTTGTTTATCTGTCCCCTGTCTAAAATAAATCCCCTCCTTTCTTTGCCTGGTGAATTATCAATGCAGTTTTATGTTTTAAATGCTCACTGTTCTCAGTACACTTTGTTCTTTAATTTGTCATAAAATTTAGGAAATTGTAATGCAAATGGCTTGTCTTTAAATGTTTAATTTTAGTTTTCTCTCTCTTCCACATGTTTGGAAGCTCCTTAAAGACAAAGTAGTGTGTAAGTAGTGTGTTTTTGTTCTTACAGATAGATCCCATAGACCAGTGATGGCAAAACTTTTGGAGCTTTCTGTGATACAAACAGCCTGCTACGGCACACACGGCATTGGCTTGCTACTGCCCCTGCCCTGCGGTATAGTAACTTTACACTATCTTAAAAGCAGAAATTGGTCATAAATTTTGTATCAGTGTGATTAGTAAAAAGCTCCTTAGATTTCTTCCCCATGTAGTTTTTGAGTAAGACACAGCTGCAATTCCAAATCACTATTTGCTGCCCCCACTTTAAATCCTAAAATGTAGAATCTGCATAAGTCTGACAGCCTTCATTACCAAAGAAAATATTCTTTAACTCCATCCTGGCCCTGAATAGTAGTTAGCAATCATTTGTCTCCATTAGTTCCCATGATAATTTCAAACTTCTCAGATACTTTCCATTCTCTTTTATCCCCTCCACTCATTTCTTCTTTTGAAACATCAAAGTTAGTCAGTAATTACTGTACTTTCTTACCCATTTCATATTTATCTTGGTTTCAAATTCTTTTCAGGCATCATTCACAATTCATTATAGGACTCAGTCCCCTTTTCCTTTGGAATCTAACCTAGAAGATTATCTTCTGTAGCCATGTTGTGTGCAATTTCATTCCAGTGTATCCTCTCTTTTTAAAAATACCTTCTTGTTCCAAACTCCCTTTACCTTGTTTCCAACCTAATCCCTCAATTTTAAGAGACCTTTATTTCCATTATTTCTTTCCCAATTCCTCTTGCTTTTGGTTGCCAAATTCTGCAAACTAACACCTTCAAATTTCACAATATTAATGTTCCTTCTCTACATCCTGCACCACACTGCTGTGGGATAGAAGAAATCAACACAGGTAAAAAGGAGACAAGAAAAGTCCTAATTTTAAAATGGTACTTTTAAGAAAAACCAAAGCTACAGAACATAAAAATTACTTAAGGTTACAATGCCTTTTTCCTTTCCAGTAAACTCATTCCAAAGAAGTCCCTAAATTTAGATCTAAAAAGACAAAGAGCCCGGAAATCGAGGCAATGGTTTTCATCTGTAAAGCTGCACTTTCTCTTACTGATCTTTGTCCTGGAGAAAGCAGCATGCCTCAGTGCATCATGGGTCTCAACTCCAAACACACTCAAAAGGGTCATATGACAGCAAAGCCCACCAAGTGAGTAAACTGATACTAAGAATACACACTCCAGATAACCCATCTCGAGGACACCATCATGACCACCTAAAGATCCCCAGCCCGGACTGTACTGCCCCTCGCTCTCAAGCACCCCACCTTAATTTCTTAGGGTGCACTTCTTTCTGCCTCATAACCCTCCTTCAACTTCTCACTAATGCGTCTTGAAAATTCTTTTCCTATGACGAAAGTTTGCAGTTTGACAACTTCCATGTTGGTAAAATGAGCTCATGTTCTCATAGTCTTTTTGAGAATCAATCACTGAGCTTGTGTAGTGACGTTTTTTGTCAAGTCAGGCAATAAATAAACTGAAGAAACTGACTGATAAATACAGCTGATTTATTTTTTTTTCTCAACTCAACTCTGCCCTCTGATGGCCTCTCACATCTCTGTCTGTCTGTCTGTCTGTCTGTCTGTCTGTCTGTCTGTCTGTCTGTCTGCCTGCCTGCCTGCCTGTCTGTCTGTCTCTGTCTCTCTCTGTCTCTGTCTGTCTCT